CGGGAACAAATAAATGGAGCTGCTGCTGAGATAGCCCAATTGAGTTTAAGATCTCTAAAAGCGTCTTTTCTTAAAAGGTGCCGAGCTTGTATTAGAGTAGAAGGTCGCCAATTTGAGCATATTTTATCAATAAATGAATAAATTTTTCTTCAAACAACTCATGTATATTTAATTTCACGTGAACCCATCCTTCACAAAAAATATTGATAGATATAGCCCTTGTTATAGACTCTAGTTCGAATTCCGGTAAGTAACATAAAATAATGTCAGGAGCAGGTAATAATGTACCTTTGTACTATTTAGCATGTCATTGGTCGGTAACAAGAGCAACTTAAATTTAAATCTATTAAATACATTCTAGCGTGTCTCAGTCCTTTGCCCACAAAAGCGGCTATAACTTTTTTTTTCTATTCGAAACAGTAAGAGTGGCACCTTTCTGAAATCTTTTTTAAATGAGCACTATTTTTACGTAATGTAAAGTTATAGCTCAGTACATTTTTTTTCACCACAGATAGTCAAAGTTGGGGAAGAAAATATCAAAAAGTTAAAAATCCCAAAATAGTCATAATTTTATGATGTTTCCTTAATATATTTGAACTTCTTTGCATTTGAGTATGGAGAAGCAACTATCTGGAAGTATTTTACATAAAAAATTTACTAAGTGTAGCCTGGTTTGTAGATGCAGTTAAAGAAAATATATGAAAAGGCACGATTTTTTTTTTAATTAAAAAAATGTAAATATATTGCAAAAACGGTAACACTTTTACCTAAAATTTTTTTGTTTATCAGAGAGCTCACCCCCCCACCTACCTTCCCCTAAAGTTTGAAAGGTTACTTCTGGGACACCCTGTATATGTTACCGGCCAAACCCGATCATAGGACAAACTAGTTTTTCCTGGGCGAAACTAGTTCTATCAAGATCTGATACATACGTCTAAGACGTATTGTTGGACGCAACAATATTATGGACTGTGTAGTGCGGATTGGATTGATTAGGGTTATTTTTTTGAAGCGCGGCCAAAGGCCGCTTACGTAGAAAGGAGTTCCACTCAAAAATACTGTGGCGCTTGATCTAGTTTAGCCTAGTCAAAACGAGTTTGTCCTAAGACCGGGGTTGGCAGGTAACATATATTCACAACTACTTAGATGAACAGCGCAAGCTTGTCTCTAGTATTTGTAAACCATTTACGGGATTCCCTTAAACTGTTACTGTGTAAAACTCGTAAGTTTACGAGGCCTTTATGGGAACGCCCCCTATGTGAAAAGGTGTAAATAGGTGCGTAAAGTGACTGTTTGGCAGATCAACCAGAATTTTGTGAGGTAATTTTTGTTTCGTAGTATTTTCCCTAACATCACGCCGTCTTGTCTCTATCACTTGGCTAATACAATTAACTACAATTAAAACATGTCCTAAATTTAACCTAAGTCAATACAGTTAGTGGATGAAATTCATTCATTTTATTCGATTATTATTATTTTCATTTATTTTATCATACATTTTAGTATACAAATTTCGGCCCCTCGACCACAATGAAGTTTACGAGGTCGTTTGCGCATCGAATTTGCCTCGTAATTTTACGAGGGGCTCGTAAAGTGAGCTCCGTACAAATTTTGACAGTTCTTTTACAAGGCTCGTAAATGTACGAGCTTTACGACGTTTACGAGTTTAAGGGATGACTCCTATTATCGTACGAGTTGAGATGAACAAAGTAAATCTGTAGCTCGTTTCTGTAACTCTTCTCTACCAATTATTTCTCTACTGGTAGAGAATATACGTCATTCTCTACTACTCATTAGCAGTACAGAACAAGGCCTTGGTAGAGAATTGTTACAGAAACGAGCTAATGGTCTCTCACTAGAGCTGTAGCAAACCATGAACGAACGACACAAGATCACGTAAGAACTAGAGAGTGAAAAAAGTCAATTTTTGAGCGGGTTCTACGCCATCTTGTTTCGCTGGAAAACAAGCTAAAAGTAAACAAAGCAAAGAAAACAACGAAAACCAAAATTATTGTAAGCCACTTTAAACGCACAATTTAGGTAAAATTATGCATTAAAATGCTTTAGAATGTGTTGCCATGTTGATTTAACTCTTATTTAGTTAAATAAAAGTATAAAATTGTGGTGCTTGGGATGTAAACAAACGCTCAGCTAACGAACCCGCTTCCACGATTTTTTTTTCTCAAAACGAGTTACAAATACAACGTCGCGTTCTTACGTGATCTTGCATTTTTGGTTCAGGTGTAGCAAACCGTATGTATTCGTTACTGAGTAACGGGTACAACCCCTGACTCGAAGTGCCGAATCGTTACTCCCATAATAACAGTGTTGCCACTATTGCAATTTTCCGACCAAATTTGGTCGTTTCTTTTTCATTTGGTAGGTTGGTAGGCAAAGTAAGATTTTGGTCGGATAGTTGAATTAATTTTTTAAATTCTTAATTATAAAAATATATATTTCAAACATCATTTTGCATATACATATTTGCCAACTTTACCTCTTTAACATTTGCCAATCCTGCATTTAAAAATAAGAAACCTAATTGGTTTGGACACTGATGGAGCCAATGTTATGGCTGGAGACTTGGGGGAGCTGAAAACTTTATTGCACATGCCACTCACTTGACCTTTCCTCAAGCTACGGTTCTAAAAAATTGCCGATAAGCTTTGAGACACTGTGCCGGGCACCCTGAAATTGTGCATATAGAAACTGTGCATACGAAATAATGCATATGAAAAAAACCGAAATAATGCATACGGAAAAAACCGAAACAATGCATATATGCACAGTTTCGGTTGAAAACCGAAATAATGCATATGAAAAAAACCGAATTAATGCATATATGCATAGTTTCGGTTGAGAACCGAAATAATGCATATTAGAAAAACCGAAATAATGCATACATGCACACTTTCGTTTGAAAACCGAAATAACGCATATGAGAAAAACGAAGTAGTGCATACATGCAGAGTTTCGGTTCAAAACCGAAATAATGCATATGACAAAAACTGAATTAATGCATACATGCACAGTTTCGACTCAAAACCGAAATAATGCATATCACAAAAACCGAAATAATGCATACATTAAAACGAACTTCTTTCTGCGTAGGCGGCCTTCGGCCGCGCTTAGGGATTATAACCCTTACTAAGTAGAACTCTCCTTTCTGTGTTGCCGGAAAAGAGGGGACGGAAGTATTTTTGGGCAGAACTTTTCTCTGCGTAGGCGGCCTTCGGCCGTGCCGGCTGTGTTGCCGAAAAAGAAAGGCGCAAGTATTTTTTCGCAGAACTTTTTTCTGCGTAGGCGGCCTTTGGCCGCGCTTAGGGATTATAACCCTTACTAAGTAGAATTATCCTTTCTGTGTTGCCGGAAATGGGGACCGGAAGTATTTTTGCGCATAACTTCTTTCTGCCTAGGCGGCCTTCGGCCGCGCTTAGGGATTATAACCCTTACTAAGTAGAATTATCCTTTCTGTGTTGCCGGAAATGGGGACCGGAAGTATTTTTGCGCATAACTTCTTTCTGCCTAGGCGGCCTTCGGCCGCGCTTAGGGATTATAACCCTTACTAAGTAGAATTATCCTTTCTGTGTTGCCGGAAATGGGGACCGGAAGTATTTTTGCGCATAACTTCTTTCTGCCTAGGCGGCCTTCGGCCGCGCTTAGGGATTATAACCCTTACTAAGTAGAATTATCCTTTCTGTGTTGCCGGAAATGGGGACCGGAAGTATTTTTGCGCATAACTTCTTTCTGCCTAGGCGGCCTTCGGCCGCGCTTAGGGATTATAACCCTTACTAAGTAGAATTATCCTTTCTGTGTTGCCGGAAATGGGGACCGGAAGTATTTTTGCGCATAACTTCTTTCTGCCTAGGCGGCCTTCGGCCGCGCTTAGGGATTATAACCCTTACTAAGTAGAATTATCCTTTCTGTGTTGCCGGAAATGGGGACCGGAAGTATTTTTGCGCATAACTTCTTTCTGCCTAGGCGGCCTTCGGCCGCGCTTAGGGATTATAACCCTTACTAAGTAGAATTATCCTTTCTGTGTTGCCGGAAATGGGGACCGGAAGTATTTTTGCGCATAACTTCTTTCTGCCTAGGCGGCCTTCGGCCGCGCTTAGGGATTATAACCCGTACTAAGTAGAACTCTCCTTTCTGTGTTTCCGGAAAAGAAGGGCGGAAGTATTTTTGCGTAGAACTTCTCTCTGCATAGGCGACTTTCGGCCGCGCTTAGGGATTAAAAGCCTTACTAAGTAGAAGTAAATAATTCATACTAGAAAAAACGAAATGATCCATATGCACACTTTCGTTAGAAAACCGAAATAAAGCATATAACAAAAACCGAAATAATGCATGCGTGCACAATTTCGGTTCAAAACCGAAATAATGCATATGTGAAAGACGAAGTAATGCATACATGCACAGTTTCGTATGAAAACCGAAATAATGCATATGTGAAAGACGAAGGTATGCATACATGCCCAGTTTCGGTTGAAAACCGAAATAATGCATAT